CAGGAGATCGGGTCTCATGGGACTTGTGGTGGCAGCGGGGCGCCGTGCAGGTGACGGAAATCCGGGGTATCCGGCTTGCTGGGACTGCCTAGCCAGCTTCAGGGACACAGTGGAGGAGAAGAAGAAAAGTCTGGAGACGGCTCGCAGGCTGAGGGGTTCCACAGATCGTTGTGCGGAACCCTTGACGAGCCGAAACGGCTCTGGAAGAATGGCTCGAGAGAGAGTGAGGACACATGGTTGAGGTTCAGACAGACAGCAGTAGAGAAGGGGGCGGGAACCATGTATTCACGAGATAGCTCATGGCGAACAACAGATTGACAGCCTCTCCCTTCCCTGCTGTCAGCGATCTTTGTGTAGCGTGCGCAGTAGCGGGGGGTGGGGGGGGGGGGGAGCTCGAGGTGCCGGCACCAAGGATTTGCGGGGTCTCTTCCGTCTGTCCCACTGCTCCTAGCTACTTACCTAGGAGGTACCTACCCACCTAGCTACATCTACCTAAGGCACCATAGCACCTAGGCAGGCACCTACCTAGGTAGGCCCCTGGGTAGGAACTAGGGTCCACGGCCGAACCCCCCACGTGCCGCTGGCGAGGAGGGCCTGGATTGCAGTGCAGCCAGCGCACGCCCAGCACCCGAACGGCCTGACATGACCTGAAGCGGCCATGGGCAGAGAGGGTCCAGGCCTCGACGCCTGCAGGACGAACTGGGAAGAGGCAGCCAAGGCAGCCAACGTCGACGCCCAGATGCCTCCTGCGAGGTAAGTCCTGAAAGGTAAGTGCCATGTGGAGTCGCCATTTCCACGTCGAAGCTTGATCGGTCACCTCGTTTTGACTTTGGCTCCATCCACTCCAGCTGATCTCCTCTCGTCCTGTCTTTTTGTTGGCAACACCATCTCCTCGGCTGTCCGACACGCTCTCGCATACACACACACACACCCACACCAATAGTCGGCCTCTCGACGAGCACACGGCATCCCACCATCGCCTCCACCCACAGCCGCCTTCACACAGGCACCATCACGGCATCGAACCGCGATATCGGCACGGCCTTGGCACTCTCCGCTCTCAGCCCCCAGCTCTCAGCAAACCGTTGAGCTGCCCACACACCAGGCAATGGCCGTGCTGAGCCAACAACCCCTCTCATCTCAGTAAGGTACTCGTAGTCTTCTGCTTGACCTCGTCTCGACCTCAATCACCATGGTACGTGCCTCTTGTTCCTGCTGTCTTGCTCACCCTGTCCCTCGTGGCCCATGTCTCGGGAAACTGCCTCGTCGTGCCGGCCGTCTTCTCTCCCCACCCGTCTGTACTCTGTGTGCAGTGGCGAAGCGTCCATGCTGAACATTCCAGGGCTGTTGCTTCTCCCGCCCCGACGGGCCCAACTCACCCTACCCGGGCGGTGACGACAATAACGCGGCGTCCGCTCACCCCATCAACCAGGCGCCGACGACATCCCAACACGCAGCCCCCTACGAGACCCCCGCCACAGCCACCGTCAACGTCAGCATCCCCCGCACAACCTCGCCCTCGCACCAGACTCTGCCCGTCCAGTCCCGCCGTCGCTCTCGCCGCGAGAACGCTCCGCTCGACGAGCACATCAACAAGCCCCTGCGCCGCCATGCCTGGACCTCGACCTCCCGCACCTGGACGCGCGCCGCCCTCGCCCGTGAGCGCACCGACTTTTTCGACACGCGCGTCACCGGCCGCGCTGAGGTCTGGGAGACGCTGCACGCCGCCCTCCGTGTCCTTTGGGACCCTGCCGCCCAGGGCGCCGCCGACGACGGCACCAACGGCCTCGCCACGGCCCAGGGCTTCCTCACCGCCGCAGAGGTCACACTGCCGACGGGGCAACCTCGCCAACGGCGTCTATGACGGCCTTCGGTGACTACTAGTCGGCTGCCGTAGTGGGG